AAATGTTTTTATTGCCAACTTTGCTATTTCTTTTTATTTATTTTTTTATTTTTCTTCTTTCTGTTTGTTAAAAAATGGAAAAATTTTCAATAAAACAGATCTTGAATCACAAAGATTGTACACAATCTTTTCGTCTTCTGTGAAGAGGTGGGACATTCTCACAGAGTTTGTCGACATCACACTGAAGCCTCTGAGTGACACCCGGTGGGAGGCAAAGCTAGACTCTGTCAAAGCTATACGTTTCCAGATGGGGGGAATTTTAGATGCACTACAAAAGCTTGGAGAAGTGGCAGGAGACAGCAAGATTGTCTCAGAGGCAAAATCACTATCTGATGAGATTGTCAGTATGGAGTTCCTTGTGTGCCTCATAATTTGGTATGCCTTATTATGTGAGATCAACTTTGCAAGCAAGGCACTACAAGCAGCAGATGTGTCAATGGACACAGCCATTAGGCTAATCGAGTCTCTGAAAGAGTTTTTGCTCAAATATAGAGAAGAGGGCTTCAGAAGTCACTTGACATTGCAAGCAAAATAGCCATCGAAATGGATGCTTCTCCTAAGTTCAAAGAGAAACGACTTAGGAAGCAACAGAATTTCCCAGATGACAATTCATGCACTGGTCATCATGAAAAGGAACCCACAAGGCACTTCAGGTGCATGGTTTTCAATGTTATTGTTGACACACTCCTCCAAGAGCTGTCTGAGAGGTTTTCCAATTTTCAACTTGTGTCTGAGAAATTTAAATTCATCACTAAAATGGAGCACATGACAAAAGCTGAGCTGGAGGAATCAGTGACCACATATGCCCTGACCACTTGTGATGTTTCAAGAGATATCATTCAAGAAATATACCCAGCAAGCCGTCTACTGAAGGGTTACAAGGCTCTAGAAAAGTTAAATTTCCTAATTCAAGAGGACCTTGATTTGGTATTTCCAAATTTGACAGTAGCCCTTAGAGTATTTTTAACCATGCCTCTGACAGTTGCATCTGCAGAGAGATCATTTAGCAAGCTGAAGCTCATCAAAACATACCTTCGTTCAAATATGAGCAATGATCGCTTGTCCCAGTTAGCAGTGATCTCTATTGAAAACAGTGTGGCACGGTCTATTTCATTTGATGTTATACTTGACAAATGGGCAAATGCAAAGTCACGGAATGTAACAGTTTAAATGTCATAAATGTTAAAACTCTGACATGGACTCCAGGCTGTTAAGATGTCATATTTCCGCTACATAAAATGTTGAGCACTGACTGAGTACCACTACTGTTATATATTTGTACTTTATAAAACTTCTTATTTGTTTATGATTGAAATGATCACCTGATATAATATGTAACATTAAAAAAATCTGTAATATTACTACTGTATTTTCTAAGTGCATGACTAAGCTGTATGAGGCGGCAAGTAAAAAGGAGCGGGTGGGGGGGGGCGCCGATGAGGTGTTCGCATCCACCTCAAAAATATGTAGTTGCGCCCCTGGCTGTTGGCTCTAGGGTAAGCCCCCGACGCATGTCAGCAGTTTGACTGCAGGGTCTCAGAAGCCTTTTCGCAAGATTTTCAGAAGAGCTGTCACCCCTGGTGTGACAGACCTCCCTAAACCTTGTTGAAGTAACACGACACTTTCTTAGTTGGTGCCACTCTGGACAGAAGCTCTGCTCCCGTGTGCTGCTCTCAATTTTGTGAGACATCTCTAACGTTGTCTCAAGGGACATCATATGGTGTTGCTGTTGTTCTGAACATACATATGCACAGCTGGAGTGTTCAAGCCTGTAATTGTAGAGTGGAAGCTGTGGGGGAGAAAGGACGTGTTGGTGTGGACGGGTCCTGGGAACTACCTTTGCTGGCAGCTGATATGACAGAACACTTCCCTCTTGTACTGGACCAAACAAAGAGTCAACAAGAGGGACATCGTTGGAGACAGCCATTGTGGTGATCATTGGCGCTTCTTCAGCTGGAAGTCCCCGGTACACATCCTGTATCCTTAGGGTCGAGATGAGTGGCAGAGGGCTGGTAGTGCCTTTATACAAGTTGCTTCTGTTGAGAAAAATAAAAATTTGTCATAAACAAGACATTAATAGGCAAATGATGAAATTTATACTAAATAAAGCCTATGTTATTGTATTTTAGGCAATAAAGTTATTGTCTTGTTTAAAAACGAAGTTTGATTAGTTACTTATTTGCATTTTTAACCTATCTCTGGCATAGTACAACATAAGCTTAAGTACCATACCATAACATTTTATGTATAAAGCACATAAAACAGCAAAACATGCACTTTTTGTGCATGTGTTGTGATAGTAAATTTAATGAATTTTTAAAAATGTGTGTGTGTGTGTGTGTTTGTGCATGTGTCTGTGTTCTTTAAATTAAAACAAACCTAATTCCTTCAAAGATTTTCCTCTCTCTTGGTTTTGCTGACAGGACGACCATGTCCTTAACTGGACCAGGTTTTATGCCCTGCATCCAAAAACAACATTGATGTAAATACAGTATTGAACTATAATTCATAAGCAGGAATAAAGAGTCATCAATATGTAGTTACCATTGTCCTCGGTTTATGCCACTTTTGTTCGGTGTCTGTGCAGCTTAGGACTGGAGGAACAGCTGGAAGCTTCAACTGGGAGTAGTGAGCCGTCTGGAAAAGCAGAGCTGCCACATGGCTGCACAGGACTGTACCTGCCACACAGGTGCACTGACATCCCTGAAACTCCACCGGCTTTGATTCCCTCAGCACCATCTGTGTACAATACCAAATATTTCAGAGACCAAAATGTACCAACTGTAAATGCTATTATAAAAAGACAACCGTAATTATCAAAGTCCTACTAGCTTCTTAAAACACAGCCCTGTAGAGAACATGTCGGGTGGTTTTGACTTACACTCAAACAGTGGGGCTTCTGGCTTTTCCTCATTGACTGGAAACACTCAGCCCTAACTGTGACTTCTCCTGCCTCCTTGTTTGAAACTAATATTTGGGTTAATCAGAAACATTGTACAGACAACACACGTTTACTCAACAATTTAGCAAGGTTAGCTACGTTAGCTGTGTTATATGTAGCCTGCATGAGGCAGTTCGGTGAACTGAAAAAAAAATACCGACTTACCTTCGTACTTATTTATGTAGTTGGACACACAAAGCTTGAATCCTTTGTCCTTTTTAGATGTGGGCGCTTTCGAGAAAGTCTGAATAATTCTGTAGACATCATTAACAGATATTGTTGGCAAGTCCTGCAGTGATCGAGTGAAAAACGCCATCACTAACACTGTGTTGACAGCAAACAGGAAGTGCGCAGCCCTTCTGAAAAATGCGGAAGTGCTAGAACGGAAGTCCGTGGCATATAGTCTATTGTCACACAGGCACATTTATTAACAAACAGCTGTAACTGTACAAAATAAATGTCTAAAAAATAAACTATTTACATATATTAAATAATAATCCTCTTCAGCTGTGCTGCCTTCACGACGTTAGTAAGTTTGTGTAAAGCAGCACGTGAGGGGCTGTGTTTCTATTCAGTGAGAGAGGAGTTTCTTGAAACCGTCCAGATGACCTGAATGAAAAATGTTGGATTGTATACCTGGATTATTGAGCATGGACTTTGTTGTTTTCAACCAGTTTGACAAGACTGTCAACAAGGAAGAGCGCCGGCAATGGAGGAGGGGGCGTACCAAAGAGACCATCTTATCACAAGCAGAACTAGTTTGTTCCACTTTAGAGTAAGCTGTTGGGGCGAGAATCAGTTTTGTTGTGTGTTTCCTTGACTGATGAAGCCTTCTGGATCGAAGGCGAAACGTTTCAGCACAAAAAAATAAATAAAAAGAAACTGTCCAGATGATCTGACTGAAAAATGTTGGATTGTAAACCTGGATTAGTGAGCATGGACTTTGTTGTTCTCTCTGACATTTGATTTGATCTGATTTTACCAGGTGAAATGTTTGAGAACCAGTTCTCATTCACAAACAGGACCCGGCATGTTCCAGGAGTTCTTCATTCAAGCCTCAGAGCTGCTCGTGGAACCATTTCATCATCATCATAACCTTTATTTAACCAGGTTTGTCCCATTGAGATCAAAAGAGCTCTTTTACAAGAGACCTGGCCAAGACTGACAGAGGAAAAAAAACAGTCAGTAAAAAACACAGTTACAACACAGTCAGAATAAACATAGACTTAAATAACAAACGACTCAATGAAAACAATTAAACTTCTGCAACTTCAGTAAAAAGGATCTATCATGGTATTAAATACATTCAGAGATACTAATGTTCTAAGTTTAAGCTGTGATTGTAAACTATTTCATGAGGTTGGAGCAGAAAAGCTAAAGGCTTTCTTGGCCCTTTCTGTTCTGACATGAGGATTAAAATAAACTAAAATTTAAAAAGTCTTGAGACCGGAGGCTGTAGGTCGTGTTGTTTAAAGTTAACAAAGATGAAAGATAAGGTGCTGTCAACTTAAGAACAGTCTTGTAAATCAAAACATACCAATGGTCAAGCCGACGTACATGCAGAGACGGCCATTTTACCTTTTCATACAAGAGACAG